GAAATTTTAAGATGAATTAAATATACACTTTTGGAAAGTAATAATTCGTAGCGAGAGCTATCGAAGTTTGAAATTAAAGGTAAAAGTGGATATAATTTGGGGAAAATTTAGAGAAGTTAAATTTTATATCGTTCGACGTTTTATATTACTAACGCTATTTATGTTGTGAACCAAGAATGTTGTAGTATATTGTTGTTATATGTTGTTCGTTGATTATGTTATTGTTAATTATGTTGTTGATAATTTGTTCGTTTGTTCAATTGTTCGTTCGTTCGTTCATTCGTTCGTTCGACCATGAGAATGCCCGTTCGATGTGGCAACTCTGTAAATTGATGACAGAGGGAATTGGGGGATCTCAGCGGAAAACTAACAAAAATAAAAAAAGGGGAAAGAGTTTTTTTTTTATTTCTGTTGAGTAACGTAGAGCAAGTTTTAATTAGTCCATATTATTAATAATCACGTGATTAAATGTATCTTCAAGTCACACATAAAAGTGGTATTTGTAATAACATGAGCACATTTTAAAAATATTGTTATACTTTGTTATACTTTAACAACGAATCAATAATAATGAAGGCGATTTATAAATCAGCGATGGAAGCAAGAGAAGAATTTGGATGTGGACTTCAATAAAGAGTCAACAAGAATTATTTGACAAAAATGAAAAAAATAGTAAGTTTAAGGGACTAACGAAAAAAGTTCGTTTCGAGTCAACAAGTACTTCATCTACTAATTATATTAGTGTTCAGTTTTATTATGAGATTTTACTTATAAAAATACAATAAAATGCGATCATATTAGGCCAGTTCATTTCTGATCATTCGGAATTTTGATCGGTTTTTAGTTGAATAATATTGGTTAATAAATTGGTGTAACTCGATCAGTGACCTGAACTAAAAAAAGGTGATCATATTTTAAAATAGGCAAAGCACAACAAAAACAAATGGGCTGATTGGTTATTTGTAATTTTTTTGCAACCAATGATCAGTGTACTCAATTTTGATTTTGATCATATGTTCAGTTTGGCTAACGGATTTTGCGATCAAAAACCTGAACAATCAGAAATGAACTGGCCTATTATGATTTATGACGTTCTATTAAAATGTAATTAGTTTTTTATTAATTTTATTAAGGTTAAATTGATTAAATAAAAAAAAAATTAAAATTGAGATTCATCGTCAAGTAGTATTTAATGCATTGAAAAATTTTCTTGAATTGATTTTTTCAGTTAAATTTGATGACAATTACCATCTATTCACCACCTATTTACCACCTATTTAATAGCATTTTGCAACTTCGTAAAGATATGTTATCGCAAGATTGTTTGATATCACGTCATCACATGTTGGTTAATAGATCGTTGTGATTTGATGGAGATTTCTTAACTGCATGGTAACAAATCACGGATTTCTGCAAAGAATTCAAATATAGTATATAATGATTTTTAATTAAATTATTCATGTCCTATTTTGATATTTTCATTTGCATTAATAATTTAGATTTTTTGGATATTGCGTTCATTATATATTACGCACAACAAGTTCCTTTAGTTCTAAGATATAGGAATAGATTTATTCATTTATTTAATTATTATTCTTAAAACATCTTGTTTAATTCAATTTTTCGGCTGACGTAGCCATCGCGCACCTATATAAAAAATTTCTTATATTTGTATATCATAATTCTGGCCAAAAATTAACATAATTTTGGCCAGAATTATATTTAAAACACTGTATATAGTAGTTAAATATGGTTTACTGAAGATGTACCACAATTTATAATTAGAGTAAGCAATCCTTAATTTTTTTTTCGACGAATTTTGTTAATAATATTAATGAATTAATTATTCTGTAGGTTATGTATTTACAACGAAATAGTATTAGTTATATATGATCCAATTCCAATTTTTCTTTAATGTCCGCTCGTGTTTCAATAATATTTAATCTTATTGGAAGAACATTGAATATTTGATATGCTACTATATTATAAATTTCCTTTTTCTGCTGAAAGACAAAGTATAAAACATGAAGAAACCTACAAATATTATTGAATATCCGAGAAACGATGATGATACAGTACTATAGAAATTACATTCTTGCATTATTGTTATCCGTTATGTTTTTCTTTCTTTCTTTAAAAACAAGGAAATAGACATTTAAGAAAAAATAAAATTTTGCTAACGGAAAAAAATTTTCAAAAACCTTTTTTGTATGATTTGGGTGTTTTTTTTTGCATCATATTTACATTTTTTTTTGCGCGCACTTTGAATTATGACCATTACTTCCAAAATAAATTATCTGATGCAATTTGAATTCATAATATTTGAAACACAAAACTAATTAAATTGTATTAATTGATCAGGTGATAATCTCTTTATTATAGTAACACCACTAAATTTTTCACCCCCACGTGACCTAATAATATTCATCACCGGCATCACACCCCACCGCGTTTTCACTGTTTATATTTATCTGAGGACACAGTTTTTTTTTGCCAAAATTATTTTTTTCACAACCCCTTAACTGTCACCGGTCACGTGGGGGTGAAATTTTAATTATAAAATTGGTGGTGTTACTACGGTAAATTTTATTATGTATATGGGGGATCAATATATGACTGATAATATAATGCATTATTATTTATCGTTACACACTTTAACAAGGACTAAAATTTCTTTATTGTTTTAAAAAAATTCGATTTTTTATTTTTTTTATTTTCCTTTTTAAAGGATAAAAAATACTATTAAACAAGCTTCAACCAATCACTCTTCTAAAGAACAAAGCTCGAATAAATTAATTGTTAAATTACGTCGTTATATTAAAGATGAAAGAAAGAAATGTTTGAAAGTTTTTTTCTAATTATTTAAAGATAAACTACCAAATTTCAGTTATTATTTGTAAAAATCAATTTTCGTTTTGTTGATCATTCAAGGGAACACAGGCCCCATTTAATAATATTGAAAAAAATCAATAAATAAATGGCTTTCCCCACTTGTTCCAATTCAACTAATTCAGAAATCAAATAAAAATTTTTCAAAGAATAATTCTTTTAAATAAGAAATTAAAAATATCTAAACACAAATACAAAAAGATCTAAATGCTATAAAAATGAATTTGCGTCAAATCTTATTTGCTCTCTTGATTGTACTTATGGCTACTATCGTAACAGCCTCTCCTTTGAATTTAGATCAATTAATTAAGAGGTAAATACAAATACAATATTAATACTTTTTAAAATCAACGAAAGAAATCTATTAATTTATTAATTGTATCATTAAAGAAAAAATGCTCAAAAAGACGAAAGTCCATCGAAAGAAAAAGACGGCAAAGTCAAGGCTATGTTTACATCTTCTGGACATGGCTCGTTTCCTGATTCGGACGGACCGTAGTTTATTCATCATCATGTTTTGTATATTAGAAACTTTTTATCAAGCATTATTCATTCTCACTTAGTTATTTAGCATTATTCAAAGCATGATAATTGATCGCATTATTATAGATTATAGAATATTTTATATAAAAAAAAAAATTTTACATATATTGTTACTAGTCATAAAGTCCTAAATTATTAACCTCATCCTCCTTCAATTTCAATTTTTTTTTTATTTCTTTTCTTTTTTCTTTTAGAAATCATAAGTTTTTGAAAAACTTCGATATTGTTTTCTTTATAACTTGTACCAATTTCTTTTTAAAAGAATTAAATAGAAATGTGCTTTACAAACTTTTATATTCACAAATAAGTGATCTTTTATCTTCCGCAACTGGATAAGGATTTCGTCATTTCGAAATTAAGTAATACCAAATTTAGTATGTAGTTTTGTGTAAATTTAAATAATTGGCTGTTCAGATTACTAACTCACGCTATATGATTACTTTATACTATGATTAAATATGTTGTGTACGGACACAAAAAATTTAATCACGTGATTATTAATAATATGACTAATTTGCTAAACTTGTAATACGTTACTCAACAGAACAAGTTATTAGAAAAAAAAAACTCTTTCCCCTTTCCATTTTTTCACATAGAAATCCGCAGTTAAATACTGTTTTTTTATTTACACCCCTTTTACGTTTTCAACGTTCGAGAAGAAGAAGACCACTGGGTGGCTTCTTATGGAAAGGTTCTTCTCCTTATTACCCGACCTCTGAAAGAAGTTTTTATTATATTTTACCTTATTTTTACAAAACATATTAAAAATATGGTTTTTACTTTTCAAAAACCTATCCCCTTGGGAAAATTTTCTTTCGACATCTCATTCCATAAATTTCACGTGACTAGACCCAATCGGGCTGGATGTAACAAGATTTATGAAATCAGAAGATCAAAAAGTTTCTTTTTTGAGTTAGCTGATTTTTCAGCAAACACCAATGATATTCATCTTAAAATACACACAAATGATTATCACATGAAATCAACCCCTATTAGCTACTCTTCCACCTGTAGCTTTCCTAATCTGAAATATCAGATTAGTAAGATGTTACAACATTTTTTTTCTCATCAAAAAGTCATCCCACGCTCCATTCAAAAGAGATATTTTAATCTTATTCGTTCTAAATTACTCGATAGATACTTCGTTATCAAATCACGTGCTGACAGTGTCACACAAAGAAATTCCCGCACAAAAACTTTCTTTAACTTTTCTTATAAACGTTATCGTTTTCATTTTGGTATTTTTACACCATGTAATTTTTTCACCACTTACAATCTTGGAACTGAACACACACAGTTGTGTTGTGTCCCCTCCCCTTACATCATGTCTCATAATAGACGAGCTTGTGTTTCTCATCAAAAAAATTTAGATATTTTTCATAATATCAAGAAACACACGCCGGTATCGAATAATAACATTATCAACAACAAACGGTTCCATGCAACCCTTATTCATAAACAATGGCAACGTCGTGTCAAAAAACACATTTATTCAAATCGTCTTGGAATTTCCTACGATGTTTCATACTTAGCTAATGGACATAAATTTCTTTCCACATACAACAACCGTCGTATGTACTGAAAACGATTGGACAATTTCCGTTCACACCACTCCGACAGTAGTAAACAAAGTAAAAAACAAAAATCCCGCTTTCAACGGGCATGTAGATCTGTTTTCTACAATCGTGGTAACAACCAAAAATCTTATAGACGCGTGAATACTCTTGACAGAAAGCTTCACCGTGCTAGACAACACCGTTTCCTATTTTTACCTTCACAATATATTAATAAACCTATACAACATTTAAAATATCACAAAAGACTAGTGCTCAGAGATGAGGAACATTACAATTTTCCTATACCCCCTGCATCACCCAGACCTCTAGGCGCAATAGCCGTTATGAACCGCACTTTTGACCAAGCGCTTCGATCATGTCCAGGGAATAATTCAATTAGTACTTCAAATACTCACTCACCTGCCACCACCTCACAACCCATTCTCCTCAAAGAAGAGAAAACGTGGCATGAGACGTTGGGCATCTGGATTCCTAACGACCTCTTCCCTTATGTAACTGATGAACCTGTTTATACTTCCAATAGACAGGCTAAAATTAAAGGTCAACAATACGAACCAGGATGTATATACTGGTTAAATGGTATTAGAAAACGCAAAAAAGCTCATGAACTAGCTGTGCGACTACAAAAAGAACATGAAGCAAGGGAAGTTAAACGTCTTGCTTATGAAGAAGAACTTTCTACTAGAGCTAAGCTCTGGGGTACCTCCTCCAACCGTATAGAATATCGTGAAGATATGACCAAAGATCTCACTAAATTTCAAGATCATTTTCACAAGAAAATCACCCCTTTAACTGACCGCCGTTCCGTTCTACAGAACAGAATTACACAAGGAAAAAATGTTTACAAAACTAACAAACAGTTGCTCCAACTGGAGCGCGAATTAGGTTTTTTCAATATCGACTATTTCTCAGTCATGGATGACAATGCACCCCATTACCGTTACAAAGGACACACATCAGATGATACGAAACAACTTGAACTCAGACCACACAAACGTCCCCCTATCCCAATTACAAATACAGATAGGCACAACACTGAGGTCAAAAAATTGAGACTAGATATTCCGTCTCCTGAAGACTCTAAAGTCTTCGCTTCACCTTAACCCCATTCGGTTACCACTATCAGCTTATTTTCTTATTTTAGTGGCACGCTGATAGTTATAGATTTACATTATTTCAGCCACATTTTTACTATTGACTTGTAATTTATTACATCTTTTTTTTTGGGTAACCCCCACGTACAAAATTTTATACCAACGTACAACAATTAGAATAGTGTGAACCATTCCACCTATTACAGTATTTACAGGTGGCGGCCTTTAATGGCCGAAAGAAAAATACAGATCGTTTCTTTTTTTAGATTTGATTGTCTTTGGTTTTTTTCGGGATTGGTGTCGTAATTGGGACCCACCCTTGTTTCGTTTTATATACCAGAGTGGCGCCGTCCTCAGGCGGTTTAATTATACTTTGCTGAAATCTTCAAATTTGCCACAATATTTTAATGATACATTTTCAACATCTTCACGACGACATCACGATTTTTTTGAAGATATCGCGACGATATAGTTATGATAGTCTTAACGATACCTTTCCAACATCTTCGCGATATTAAAATCGGTAACATTTTGATATCAGAAAGATATCATATTGATTTCGTAATTTAATATCGCGAAGATGTTGGAAAGGTATCGTTAAGACTATCATAACTATATCATCAAGATATCTTCAAAAAAATCATGATGTCGTCGTGAAAATGTTACGATGATGTTGAAAATGTATCGTTATGATTATCAAACCGTATTGTTACGATATCATTTAAAAATCGTGATGTTATCGTGAAGATGTTGCGATGATGTTGAAAATGTATCGATATAATTATCAAACCGTA